ACGGCCCACTTAACTGACTGATCATAGCGCACACACTAACTGAGATACATGATACTGAGTATTATTACCATGAAATGACTGATACGTGTTTCGTCCAGTACTGTAGGATATAAAGTATTCTATAATCATCTTCAGTAACATCGACGTCCTTTTTTCCGCGCAATTTATAAATTGCGCGAAATCTTTCTCAATAAATCTTTCAAGAGAGACTGTCCATATCGGCAATTACCATCAAATTGTGAAAAGTAAAGTTGCTCTTGTAAATCCAATGCTCCGGAATAGCTTAGAGACAACATGCTGAATGTATTCTGAAAAAAAAAAACTCAAACAGCACAAGAAAAGTGACTTGAAAAGTAAAATAGTGTTTTAGCCACATCTAGATTTGCAGCACTCGGGAGGTAAACATTACATGTATTCGAGGTGCGTTTTTATCTCATAAAATCGCAGACTTTTGCCAGCCCTTAGTCATCATATGTTTGTGTGAGAATATTTTATTTTAATACGTATTAGCAATAAAAATTAAACCAGGCATTCCTATTGTTTTTTTCAGCCTATCCCCCGCCTTTTCATCTGGGCTTCTGGAATAATCATCCCCATCAAAATGGGACCTAAAAAAAAGTATTAAATGAATCCACCCTTCTTAAAAGTTCTTAAGTTTAGTGTAATTTTTTCCTTTTTCTTCCCCCTTGTTATCTTTAAAATTCACACGCGCTCAAGGCAGCTTGTTGCGCATGCTAAAAGTGGCTCTTGCACTCACCAACGAGCGTTGACATTTCGACCGAGTTTACGGCTTAATAAGTTACCAAATTTAATGCGTTATGGAGATGTGCTTCGCGCGCACTTCGGGTTCCGCTATGCAGAGACGATCAACGTCGTTTCATGTAAGGGAATCGGAAGGAACTTTTATTTATCAATTATCAGTGGTGAGAGTTTTTTGTGCAGTCTGATTGCATATTATTAGCACCAAATAGGTTCACTTTATAATGGATAGTCCTGATGTATCTTGTAAGTTAAAGAAAAAAATCCGACATGAGCGATAAGTTGCCATTCTTTTTTTTT